TTTGTGCTCTACATCAGGGGTGGGCAGACTTTTCAGGGTACGCGTGCTACTTCTAATTTTTTCAAGCTTTTTCGGTCCACCCAGTGGCGTTAGTGTGGTGAGGTAAGAAAAAGTCTACTGTATTTTATTATAACTTAATAATAAATACTTAATATCTTTTCACCCACATAACGAAAATAAAATTCCATTTTTAAAACCGCATTGAAAACAAAACACAAGATGCAAAAATGTAATAATAATAGCCACAAATATAATATCAAATGACGCATTTATTATTAAACAATTCAAAATACATAAAAAAATATAACATTTTTATCTAGCGTTTGTTCTTGTTGTTATGGTCATTAGAAGACTTAGTCTGCATACTGTCAGCCAGTCTTGAATATTTCGGTATATAATTACTAACTGCTAATCTTCGGGCGGTCACCCTAAAATGTCAGGGCTACGGTAGCCCCCAGTGGTCTAGGTATCGGATCATGACAGGCATGTCCTGAGTTCGAGCCCAGTACCATAAAGACCCGTTATGTTGGGAAGCGATGCACGTTAAATCTGTCGAGAGCTCAAACGTCCTCCCGTTGGTGTGGTGAGGTAGTTAGGAGAGGGGGTGCCAGTTCAGGTGTCGTCCACGTCACTTTGTAAGGGCTCCCCCCTCGGGTGCCCTTCTCCTAGATTATCAGCGTGAGCTAGAGGTGTAGGAATAAATGTAGAACTAGAAGCTGCCATGATCTTAATATGACTTTATTACGATCTTTAACTTATACCAATAACAGATTAGATAATAATATGATATGTGAGAGAATCTATGGTGGCTAAATACACAATATATATAAAACGTAACCCTGACCACTATCAATAACTAGCTCGCCTAAGCTCAATTCTAATGCGATCACAGATCGAATATCTAAATGGTCACTCCTACCTTTCCGGTCCAACGAAGTATCAATCTAACTGACCCTAGTTGAAGTTGTGGTTCACTGGCGTGCAATGGTATGCACCTTGACTAAGGGCTCTTGTACCAAGTAACCTCTCTTGACTGTCACCTCACTTCGCGAAATACTCATCACACGCACTAACGTAACATTCCCAAAATGCCACCCAGCTTATTCTAAAATCTGTTATTTAAAAGCTTCCTAATTTGCATCTTTCCTTCACGCTTTACTTGGGTTGGTTGGAAAAGAGTTGCCATTCATTCTGGCCCCAAAGAACCTAAAAGGATATGTTAATGAAAAAACGCGTGAGCCCGTCACAACTTGACCATGGTTCAAAATTACGTGGTCCGTCGCCAAACAGTGCGACGTTAATATTCACTCACTCACCCTAAAATGTCTTGGCGGCCCACCAGTTGATCGAGATCGGCTTAATGTCCACCCCTGTTTTCCATTTAGTGAAATGAATCTGAAATTTCAAACTAGAATGTGTTATAACTTCAATTACAAATTAGATTGTCATTTTCGTTACTTAACCATGGTTTGAAATACTAGCGTCATCAATAGATTTCATATTATACCTTTATTGAGACATTTGTCAATCGAAATTATGTCGGGTTTCAATATAGATTTCAAGACTTTTAATTATTATTTTAAAACATTCTCAAAAGGATTTAGGTTGTAATAGAGATTTTTACAATGACACTTTTCAAAAAGCTACTTGTGATCTTAATTCTGAAAACCCTCTCAGATTTAAAAGGATTTTTTACTTTTCAATCGCGGTAAAAGGGACTAATTTTTTAGCCTTTTACTTGTCAATTGAAGAATTTCTTTAATTTTATAAGCTATATCCGAATTTTATTCATTCGTATTTTACGTTATAAAATGTTGAATCATTGTATTTTGATTTCCTAATTAAATCCAGTTCTTCGTTTTACTGTTGTCAAATTACTAGGTGTCGATTGTTACGGTTAATTTAAATGTAAGTCATGGAAAATAATTAATAATTCGAAGGTCTTTTTTTTTAAAAAAAAGAAAAGTACATTCGGCTCTAAGTCTTTTGTTAGTTGAGTTATTCATTGAAGTGTGATGTGTACTCAGTTTGACTTTTCACGAAATGTCCTCAATAAGTAACAGATTTGACCATGCTTCTGATTTATATAAATCTGATAAAGGACAAGTTGAATTGTTTGACCTCGATTTTTTTTTTAAAGAAATGTAATCGAAATGCTTTTTTGTTTTTTTCTTGATACTACTTTTAATAATTTTCTTTAACTGTTAATTATATTTAGGAATTTAACAATCTTGAAAGTAAATATTTTTTGCCGGCTGGGTGGCGTAGTTGGTTTGTCGCTGACCTTCTGCACCTAAGTTTGCGGGTTCGACCTTGGCCCCCAAGTCGGTGGACTTTCATGATGCAGAAAATCGACAGCGTCCATGTCGTATGATTATACAACATGTAAAAATCCCTGAGTGCCCTCGGCAAAATTAAATTTCTTAGTACAATTTGGCATCGTCAGAGACAGGTGCCTGCCTCTGGGGAGGAAACTGGGCATCAAAATTACTTGCAGTAATTGGTATCGCCGATGTGGTGCCGCACTATTAAGTGATACCAGCTTCTGGGGAATGTACTAGGTGTGCAAAGTTAAATATCCCAATCTACAGCTCAATTAGAGAAAAAAGTGAATATTTTTTTTAAAAAAAATTGTGACACATTGTAACTGTTATTTTAGCATAGACATATAGAAAGTATTTGTAGCACATAACGTTTTACGAATGAATTGCGTAAAAAGAATATTTGAACATTTGTTTATAATTGAATTATATGATTGCTTTTAACATTTGATTTGTTTCAAATTCTAAAATATTTTAACCGATATTTTTAAAATTGAAGTAGGTTAATATTGTTATTTTTCCACCATCTTCTATTTCCTGTATAATGTTACAGAAATAGTTTCCGAGGTATCTCCATTTTCTCAAAAGTTATTCAAATTTGAGTATAAGATTTTGTTAGGAAAGTCTATGATTGTCGTAGACATCTAAAATGCTGATAAAATGTAAAGTTTGAATTTTTAATATAGAAGGAAAAAAAATACGTAGAGAGAGAGAGATATTTTTGAGACTCATAATCGAAAATGACTTCATCGAAATTTGGGGGAATTTTTTAATCCATTCTTATCCATTTACTCCTGCATAAAGAGCGTATTGGGGTAAAAACAGTAAACTAATTATCAAAATAATTTTTAATATTGTTAAGTTTAGTCTTTTTGTTTAGCATCAATATTTATTTAATGATATTATTATTGTTAATTGAAAAGTTTTACAATTATTTTTTTTTAATGCAAAGTTTTCAGCATCAATTTATGGATGCACAAATCAACACATCATTAAGAATAGGAACTTTAGTGGTACTATTAAAATTGAGAAACTGCTTAAAATAAAAATGGACCTTCTTTTCAGTCGCGTAACGTGAATTTATTTTTACACGGGGGGACTTTCCACCTGCTGTCTTATTCAAACTTTAATCAAAATCAAAATAAAGTTCAATGACAGAAAACCACATCTAAATCAATATTTTCGGTTTCAACTATAATTTAAAGAGGAAATTTTTATTAGAAAATTTTCTTAAATTGAAATTTCGAAATGTTATGCTGATCTGAAAAAGCATTATTTTAACTTATTTTATGATTACATTATTTTAACTGAAGGATTAAGGTAGGAACGTGAAATTTTTTAGTCACCAAAAAGACCATTGTTTTAGTTCTGTTTTTTCATATAAAACACCATATAAAATTCGGTAATATAACCTCGTGGTCGCGCTAAAACTGTACTTTGCATAGAACAAGCTTATTACTGTTTAAAGTAGGCATATAAACAGTGATTCTTTCTGAGCATTTCTATAATTACTTCCTCTTTTATATTTCATTTGATTTATTTTTGTAATGTTTCATTGTGGGATCATTACAAAAATCGGAAACTGTTTCAAGAGACCTCTTCCCTCCACCAAGGAACAATGATTAATACGCAACGAAAGTACCAGCTTCAGAAATGTTAAAAAAATATATTTAATATGACATTTTTTCCCCGTGTATTTCTTATTGTTAGTTTAAAATTAAGATAACACATCGAGTTTTTTTTAAAATTTTTTTATGAGTAATGTTTGTGTGTGTGTGAATTTATCGAAATTTTTAAGGAAAATTTTGTTTTTCAAAGCAAAGTTATTTGGACTCAAATATCGCATAACAAATAATCTCTGATATTACCATGTTAGGCGCTATCATTCCCATTCCATTCACTATCTCCCATTCCAAAATTTCCGGACATAAAGGATCTGGGGGGGAGGGGTCGTCACTGAATTCTTTTCACTTCTAGTATCCCTATATTTTTGTAACCAACTGGAAATGGATGACATTGCGACAGGGGCGTAGCTACCGCCGTAACAATGATACGGAGCCCCAAGCTACAGAGGCTCAACATGTATAACTACAGTCCACTAACATGGCATCAATGTCTAAAAAAGGGCCCCGAAGTAATTTTGATACAGGGCCCCCTTCAAAGCTAGCTACGCCAGTGCATTGCGACTATGAATCAAGCGGACATAAAATGTTACATAAAATGCTCCTCCTTTTCGTAAGTTAATTTATTTTTTAGTCTTGACAGGCACCGTATTTTGTATAAAAAACCGATATTTATTGAGGTGGTCGTAGTAACTTCTAGTGGTATTAGTCAAAGAGTCCGTGATCGGCAATGTTCTTGCCTAGTTCCGGTATCACAGGAATTACTGTACCTTCATGAATAGTAAGTTATTCAGAATAAATATGATTAAAATATAAACAGTATAAAAAAAAATTAAGTCAATTCCTACTTAGGTCAACAAAGAAAATTTTTATTTTTATAGTTACTTTTTATTAAGTAATTACAATCAATTTAAATATGTGTATACATAGGACAGAATCACAATATTAAATTTCCAAAATGAAAGCGATTTTCCTTTCTATATATGGTGTTGGACTATTATTTTCGTTAGTTACTATTTATTCATTCATTCATAATTCACATTCTCGGAAATTAGGTCATCCTAGGTAGGATTCGAACCTACGACCTTTGGATAAGAAGTCCAACGCGCTATCTATTGCGCTACAGGGACACAACAAGCGATTTTCCTTTTTTTATATATGGTGTTGGACTATTATTTTTGTTTGTTACTAGTTATTCATTTTTTAATTAATGAATAAATATTTGCAAAAACCGTCATCTTCAAGTGTCATCCACTCCAAGTTTAAAAAAAAATGTATTTGAACTTGAATGGATGAATAAAAAGTATTTAATTAACGATTGACAATTTGTGAACACAAGGTATATATATATATATATATATATATATATTATAAGGAGATTGTGAACTAATAGTAGAATTGAAAAATGATTACTATAAATTTGGTTCTAACATACTTAAATTATCTACTTTGAGAAAGGCTCGTATGTATCTCTTTAGTATTGGTGAATTTGAATTTTTATCAAAGCAAAATGGACTTTTTTTAAATTAAAAAGTGCTAAAGCTATGACAAAATAGTAAACGTATTAATTTGAATGATTATTGTATGTTATTTCATTGTATTTTTGTCAAATGTAATATTTCTTAATCTGCAAACTCTCCTAAAAAATAAAGCGCGTTTCAGAATCTGTACAATATGACTCATTGGCTTTTATCAATTTGTTCAATTTCTTTGGTGGGGTTATCTGTGTGACCAATTCTCTACTGTACATAACCATTTTCTCATGAATGCGTACTTGGAAACATGATTGTTTCTAGTCTAAGAGTTTCAGTACCTATATATTTAGAAGTAACTCTTGTCTGTGTATAAAGCTTCGAAATTTTATATAGAAATTCATTCGTAGAATCGGGTTCGGCTTTTTTGTTATAAATTTAAAGTTTCAAGGGTAAAAATAAGATTTTTAAGATCTCACGTTCTTTGAATTAAAATTAGTGTACTCAATCTTAAAACTGCGTGTGTGCGTGGAAAGTTTAAAAAAATAATTTTGATATTCCCACCGTTTTTTTTCCCTAACTTTATGGGATAGTTTTTCAGTATGTGGAGAATTTTTTTGTTCAGAATGTTGACTTGATTAAGGAATTTCAAATGAAATACACTTTTAAAATAGTATCGCTAAATTTGAGTGACTTTTGATCGAAAGTGTTCAAGATTTATCGACCTAAGGTTGTCGTTATATGTGCATATTATTGAATCTAAATTAAGTGTAATAGTTATTACTTTAAGTTTCAATTTCAAAAAAAAACAAAAAAATTCGCTATGCCGTTTTTGTTTTTTGAGCATTTGCAACCGCTTGTTTTTATTTCAAATATGCTTGATTTGATTAATGTTCTTCGCTGTTGTAAACAACATCACTATGATCAGTTGTTGAACAGGTACTTCAATTTTTTCTTCCGAATTTTAGCTTTAAGGAAGCTAGAACCTATCAATTGGCGTGGTGTGGATTGGAGTACTTGATCAGGTGTTGGCCTTTCACTTGAGCATAATTCAAAACTGTGAAGTCCTAACCAAAGCCTTCGTGTTGTTTTTCTACATTAATAAATAATCAGTCAGATATATTGTTTAAGTTCTTTACTACGCCATAAGGATCCACAATCGTAGTTTATTGGTCCCATTTGATTTTTGTATTTTTTTAATGACGCATATCACCATGCGCTTATTTGTGACATGATTATAATATTGCAAGCTAATTTTATTTCAAATTTAGATCCGTATAAAATCTACAAATTACCTTCATATTTTAAATACAAAGTTTCCAAACAGTTGTGTAAGCTTTAAATTTTTATATTTAAATAATAATAATAATAATAATAATAATTTAATATCCTTCAAGAATTTAAGTAAAAAGTTTTTTTTTTCATTTAACAAATATAAATCTTCTATCTAGATTGATTTAGTTGTCTTTTAGCCTTTCTGCTTGAAAGTGCTTCCGGAAAGGTCTAAAAAAACATGCATAATGTTGAAAATTTGGGATATAAACTTACGTCATTTTGTATGAATATATATTCTTTTTTAAAGTAATTGGTATGTAAATCCTAGCTTTAAGCTTTCTATTGTGTTTAAAAACTTTCTTATAGCTTTCACATTTTGATTTAAAAAGGATAGGACTTGAATTTCCAAAAAAAGGAAGTCCATATTTATCTTTTTAGTCCCCCTCGAGAATCGATTTCCGCAAAATCCGTTTTTAGCCAATCTCTTAATCAACAAATGTAGGTCTAATAATTCAAAAACGGGATTTTTTTATAATACCCCCGCAGTTATCCTTTGAAGTCGATTTCGGAAAAATCCGTGCTTGGCGGATTTCTACTTATCAAAAGAAACATGCTTGCCAAATTTCAAGTCTAATAAGTTAATAGTCTCTAGGTTTAATGGTTTCGAAGATCTCGTAATGAGGGAGTTGCTTTTCTCCTATATATCGTTGCATACTAAATTTGATCACCTTACAAAACGACTGTACAAGTTTTTCATTAATTTGTTCTAACCAAGAAAAAGTAAAACCTCTTGACGTATAAAAGTTTGGATCATTGTATTTGTTACTGTAATAATAATAATAAGAATGAACCTGTACAACGTTATTCAGCAAATAAAACACTTCGCTGATTTTTTCTCCTTTTATAATGTTATTTTTTAATGCATAATTGGGTCCGTATAACAATATACTATTCTATCGATTTGCTACTACTTTAATAAAGGTTATTTAATTGTTATAAAACTTTAATTGTTCTTTAACGAAAAAATGAACGATTGAGTTTAATGAAAAACTGAACAATAATTTGCTTTTGCACATTTCAGTGCTGGAAACATATGCTGTCCCCCCCCTATATATAATAATAATTCGGCATTATTTGTGTTAAGAATTTTTAACTTGCTCTAAAATCCTACTATATGATCAATTCAAATATTTTTATATTCTCGTATTCAGTTGTTGACATTGAACGTGTTTAATTCTTAGGCAGCTTTAAAATGGGGTGGGGAGGCTTATTATAAGTTCGAGTAAATATTTAAAATTCATGTTACACAGATAATAATATAGTGAGGTGACTTAGTTTTTTTTACTGCAAAATAGCTTTAAAAATTTTAAAATTATCTTACAATAGTGTAAATGAACATGCATTCTGTACGAATTACTCTGCATGGAAACCAGTTAAGTTGAAGGCCGAATTCACTTATCTATTTTGCTCGATATCTAGCAGAACCTGTATAACTCAACCTCCAAGAATGTCAACATTTTGGGCTCCCTGAACAAGTCATTGTGTTATCAGCGCGAATCCCAGTTTAAATTAGTCCATTATCATTTCCTTGTTTGTAGCTACATAATATTGCTCTGAATTTTCTGGTTCTTTAGTCTTGACTCGATATGTTTAATCTACTGGAACACTGAAAAATTATTCAGTTTGGTGTGAGTATTGATGATTTTGGGGTATATATCTCTCAAACAAAGAAAATGTCTTTAAATTATGAAAGTGCAATATTCTATGATATGAGAAATTCTGTTAACGAAGAAGCACATTCACACGCAATATGAACCCATTAAAAGCATGTTTAGGCTTTGTACAACTGTAGAGCTAAATGTGCGTTTGTGCGTATATATATACACCATGTGAAATTGATGTGACCTAAACTTTCCACAATTTTTATTCGAATAAAAATATAATGGATTTCTACTTTATTTTAATATAGCAAAAAGTATAAATGGTGGGGGAGACAAACACGTGATTAATTTTCTTTTGCTTTAAAATGTTTTTCTTCCTAATGTTATTTTATTTATTTTTTACATAATTTAAGCGTGTTGTGAAGATTCCAGTAGACTTCTCCACGATTGCAGACGTTCGAACACCGATTTCAATAAAATGCCTGGAATAATATGGTCTTACTTCACGTTAAATTCTAATAGGTTCAGAAACGTTGTTATGGAATTTAGACAAAATGAGAGGTATTATTCGTCTCTTCTCTGTGACTGGGTTGCTAATTATCTTACTCTTTATCTACAAATATATTAATTTACAACCAATTTTTTTGTCAAGATAGAACATGTTACAAATACAAAAGTAAGTACCAAACGATATTTCCAAACTCATTCTTTGGAATTTACAAACAGCTTGAAAATATTTTTATGAAATGGTAGCATGTATGTCCATAATATTGTTTATAATTTTTAATTAAAAACATATCCAAAAATAGATTTTTTTTTTTGAGAAAAATTAATCAAATTGAAAATGAAAATTCTTGGAATCTTCCACAATGTTAATTCGATTTTTTTCCTTCTGCCTCACTTAGCAAAGAAAAATGGAATAAAATAAACCATAAATTTTAATTTTTTTTTTATGAGCCAAACAATTATAAAGTTTCATGTGATTGCTTTGCGGCAATATTTAGTCTTAGATAAGTCTTTCAATGGCATTTTTATAAATATTGTGATGATGGGTATGTAAAGCACATACTGTATGAATTGTAAACATCAGTGTGATAAGATTACCTTCCTATACTGTTTTTACGGCGTTTTTCCACTCCCCTGTTTTCTTCTTTTAGACAATCGGCACAGCGTTTCCGCTGTCTCCCGTATGAGCCTCCACTAACCGATTTTTGGTTTTTCCTCAAATGGTTACGATTTCCCTTCGCGCTTTTCAGAGTGAGTTTTTGAAAAAGGAGGACAAGAAGCGCAAGAAAACGTCAGTGCTTCAAGGTCGGTACGCTCGGGTTATCGACCACTGTGCGCAAGGTTAAATTATTTTACCGCCACATCTGCGAAGAAAAGTCTGGACGCGGCCTCGTTTCTGGTTTTCTGGCTCTCTTTGCTATGCTGCCATTCGAAAAAAGGGAAATAATGGAAATTCTTTTGTGCGTTGAATTTGAGTTCGAATATGATCTGTCTGTAGTTCACTGATTTTGCGGGAAAACTCCAGTGAAAAAGCTGGAAAGTCCAGCATAGGGCAATTGTTGATTAAATATACCAATTTTTTTTAAAATTATTTTTTTTAAATTTTATTTCAAGATGGAGGGTTTTTTTTTTTGCTTCAATATACTTAATACATTACCGATAGTTTAATCTTACCAATTTATGTTAATTAATCAGATTTAATTGAATTTGTTTGTT